TCCTACACTTTTCTACAAGAAAGCACAGGTGACTTTGGCAATAAGGAAATCAAGTGTTCACCAGAGAACCCACTTCTATAAAGGGGAGCTGATCTAAGAGACGAATGACATTTCTGAACCTGGGAATGTACACTCTTCAATAGATGGGACAAGAGTGAACTAAGACGACACTGACCTCCACAGGGTTAAGAAACACTCATTCACTCATTCATTCGCTCTTCCATCCATGCATGCTAATAAATATTTATTGAGCACTTAGCATGTGCTGGCAGGACAACAGGGAGCAAAACAGGACAGTCCTTGCTGGCACAGGGCTTTCCGTCTAACAGAGAGACAGAAAGAGAAGAAACTAGTAAATAAAGGCACAAGGATTTCAGGTAAGTCCTATGCAGACAACAAAACAGACAGATGGGGTGGAGAAAGACTAGGGTACTGACTCAGCTGCATGGGCTGGGAGAGCTTACTGAATGACATTTGAATTAAGACTTGATGATAAGAAAGAGCCGGACACACAAGGAACTGGTGAGGAATCTTCTAAGCAAAGGGACTCTTCTCTACAAATGCCCAAGACTGAGCCTAGGACAAGCCCAGGACATACAAAGGGCACCAGTCCAGAGAAGGGGAGTGGGCAGAAGGGAAGATGAGGCTGAGAGGTAGGTAGGGGCAACCCCAGAACCACAGAAAGAATTAAGAGTTTCACTTCAGCAACTCTGAGCCCAAATTCTGTGTCCAAATGAAAATCAACTCAAGTGGCCATGTGATTTAGAAATACACAAATTTTTAAAACCTCCTCCAGTAAGAGAAACCAAAAAGACAAGACTTCATCCTTCTGAATAAAGATAGAGAAGAAATTACCCTTAGAGCTTAATGCAGGCTTAGCACACAATATGCTTACAACAAATGTGTGCTGAATGGATGCCATGCAAAAGCACTTTCAATTGTACGCATGACTAACATGCATTTGCTTGCAAAACCATGGACAAGAGAGATGAGAGTGCTTAGAAAAGAAAGTGAAAACAGAACACAGTCCATCTGATGCCACAATGCTGGTTACACTCATAGCACTCAATCCCCACAAGGCACATGGGCTTAAAATGCAGAATTGCCAACATATTGAGATAAATGCACAGGTGCCAGACGCATAATGAGTTACTAAAGGAAACCAGGGTGGCCTGATTTTGAAATCTGACATCAGGAAGACAAGCCACCCCTGCCTCACAGGCCCCCTGCCCGATCCAGAACCTGGGACTGACCCAGAGCTGGAGCTGTTCTCAGTGGCTAAGACAGTCATTTTAATTATTCCCTGAAAGGGGAAATGAACCTTCAAGATGTCAGAAGCCCAAGGTCAGGGTGAAGGCATGGCCAGCCATGGGCAGGGAAGCAGCACCTTGTAACTGATTTTATGAGATCCACGGGCTTGTCTCTCCTCCGCTTCCAGAGGGCTAGGACCACATCCTCTACTTCCACCACTCCCAACCACGCCAGTTTCCTGCTCACATACACCAGGAGCTCAGGTGTTTGCGGAACGAACGAACGAGCACCCAGCTGAGGCAGTCTATTCTGACCAAGCCGTGTGGCCCTGAATGAGATCCCTGGGGTCAGAGGCAGCAGGGACAGGACACTAACAGCACAGTGTAGACAGGAATCAGACACACGAGGAAATGGCAAAGAGAACCAGGAAAGACACACTTTCGAGGACACTTGATCAATACTTGACGCATCATCACATAGGAAAGGAATCAGGCACATTCCCTCTAAAGCCCCAGAAGCCAATCTTTGGCTGAATTCAAGGAAGAACTTCCTCCTAGCATGGCATTTGCCAGGCTGTGTTTAGTGGAATGCTAGCATTCCCGGGTTGGGGAGGGGAGGGGGATGGGGGGAATGATTCCAAACAATTGCACGGGAAAATACGTTTGGGAATTTGAGTTAATCAAAGGTAATGGATATTCTTATTGAAGGGCACAGCTTTCAGCCCTTCTCAAGTTTATGTGGCCCCAAACAGTTTTTCACAGGATGCTACAAACATCTCACAGAGTGTCTATGTCCCAAGTTCACCTCTGGGGAAAAGATGAATTAGAGCTGTCTCATACAAACATCTTGCGAACGAAGGAAGGAGTGTCATACCAGAATTGGAGTGCTTTAAGGATGCAGAATTCAACACTGCAAGATGATACAAATACTATCAGAGTAGAAAATTGGAACTATGGGCTCATTCTGCCATCGACTTTCATCTTGAATGACCGAGTAGCAGGCAAAAAGGCCCAGTTACACGTGAGGACACAGACTAACTGTCTCCTCCCACCACTTGGTGTCCGAATGAGTGGGTAACATGGATATTATGGACTTTCCAGGGGGCTCAATGCTAAAGAACTTGTCTGCCCATGCAGGAAATGCAAGAGACTCAGGTTCAATCCCTAGGTCTGGAAGATTCCCTGGAGGAGGGCACAGCGACCCACTCCAGTATTCTTGCCTGGAGAATCCTATGAACAGAGGAGCCTGGTGGGCTACAGTCCACAGTGTTGCAAAGAAATGGACATGACTGAACTGATTAAGTATGCATGCACACATGGATATTACAAAGGGATCCTCGAAGGAGTCAGTACTGTTCTGAGGAGCTTAGGGATAAGATGAGTACCTGCCAGAGCCCACTTTGAGTAGAGCCCTCATGTACTGTTTTCTAGAAAATACTGTCTGCTTGCCTTCCTCCCGTGTACCTTTACATTTGGTAAATATTCACTGAGGGTCTTCCATATGCCAGCAGTGGGCAGCAAAACCAGAAAAGGTGCTGCCTCACGACAGCCTCCTGGGGAATTCAGACAATAAACAAACATGCTGCACAAATAAGAATTTAATCCAGGTTTCCATACACATTACAAAGAAAATGAATGGTACAAATCAATGTTAAGTTACACAGAGACCTTGTCCAGTGTAGGACTTTGGGTTCTGTTCTCTAAGGGACCACAGAGACCATCTTTTGACATTCTCAAATGTGCAGGTCCAAAACATTCCTATAGGAAATTATAGTCCACTGGGGCTGGAAAAGGCCACACAGCACCCCTCCCACCCACATGCACACAAAGCAGCCTCCACTCCAGCACAGTGTCACATGACTATGACTCAGTAGGTCATAGTCAAATAGAGGGTCACTGGCTCAATGTATATGAGTTTGAGGAAACTCCAGGTGATAGTGAAGAGGGGGAAGCCAGGCATGCTACAATCCATGCGGTCGCAAAGAATTGCACATAACTGAGCAAATGAACAATGACAGTAGGTCTGGATAGAGCTGGAGAGTTTGCATTTCCAACCAGGTGATGCTTCTCTGCCAACCACATCAGGTAGCACTACTTCATCAGGCATTTTAAACGACCTAAATAAACTGAGGGCTATACCATGTTCATGAACAGAGAGGCTCAATCACAAAGTGGTCAGTTGTCTCAGATTAATCTATAAGTTCATTATCGTCCCAACCAAAGTCCCCACAGAGTTGTTCTCTTCTTTTTTGTTGTTGTTTTTTTAACTTGACAAGCCGATTCTAAAATTCATCTGGAAGACTAAAATAATTTTGGAAAACAGCAAAGTGAGGGACCTGTCTTGTGGGTTCAAGGCTTAAAATTAAACTTTAGGTATAGCACTGACACACAGTTAGCAAAATAGGTGAAGAGATCACAGTGCTCTCAAACAGATCTATGCTTTCAGTAAAACTTTATATGGAAGATGGCAATGACAAATCAGTATGGAAAGGATGAATGATTCAGCAAATACTGCTGGAGAAATTGGTTATTTATATAAAAAATAAAACTGAATTCCTACTTCATATCTTGTACAAAATAATATCCAGGTAGATTATATTCCTGAATGTGAAAAAAAAACTTTAAAACTCTTAGAAGAAAACCCAGAAAAAAAAAATATATATATATCAACTTTGAGGTAGGGAACTATATCTTAAATAAGACACTCACTGTGCAAACAAAAAAGAAAAATACTGGCAGGTTTGAATTCAATATAGTTGAAACTTCTATATGCTGTACACAAATAATGAAGAAAAGCCACACACTAAGAATGGTATCTGGTTAAATTTTAAAAAAAAATCACTCATAAAACTACTGCTCCTCTACACTACTATTCATCAGCACTACGGTAGGGGAGATTCTTCAATGAAGTCAGACCTTTTCAAACTGAAAAGCCTCAGTGAGCCTTTATCCAGTCTTCAACCCATAGAGGAAACTTTTCTTCAATTCCTGGGGTGCTGCACAATTCTGCACATCCACAATGTAAATGATACCCTCTACAGTTGTGCAGTGAGCAACTTATACAACTGTACATGGCAGCCCTGCAACTCCAAGGGCTACAGATCCCTTTGGAACACTGATGAAAAATGCCTGTCTCTGCAAAAATGCCTACCCACACAAATACTGCCTATAAAGTCAGTGGATTCAGGCACTGTCTCCAAAACCATCAACAGCCTTATGTTGGTCAAACACTTCCAGGTATGAGGGCTCACAACCCGTGAAAGTACTTGCAGACAACACTGTGGGACCGCACTCTTCCTTAAGCACTTGCCTCTTTACAACCTCTCCCCACTCAGGTTGATCTACGTCCTTTCCGTGTGACCTTGCAGCTACTGAATGAAAGCTAACCTGTCCCCCCAGGAGACTTCTGCTTTCCAGGCTAAATATACTCTTGACTTTGTTTACTGCAAACAGTCCAAATATTCTCTTTCGCTAAAAATGAGTTTTTAAACTGCCCATTATTTTACCAAGCACTTCTTGCCCTGGTAAGTAACTAGGCATGCTGACACGTCAACAAAGAACGAGAAAGCATTTTTCTCAGCTGTGCCCCTTTGGAAAACCTCTCAAGATCTCCATCCTGGCTTCTAAACCAGCCAAATGCCCACAGAAGCCAGGAAGTTCAAGGCTGGAGGCAGGTTTTTTCAGGGGTGGGGTGGGGGCAACCAGGACAGAGCCCCCAGGGGCCGAAGGAGACAAGGTGTTTCCACTTACTCCCAAAACTCCATGACAGGAGAGGTGGCGTTCTGCAGGGACACATGGCTGTGGTTGGTTGCGTTCAGTTTTTGGAACTCCACGCAGTTCTCTGCAGTGGGAAACAGGACAAGAAACACAAGAAAATTAACCTCTGCAAGGGCTGGAGCTTAGCACAACATTCAGAGCTGATGGTGCAACCAGGTGGTTTTTACTCAGCCACTCCAGGTAAACATGCCTCACAGAGCACTGTGGGGAAAATCAATCACGTACAAACAGTTTAAGAGGGAGGCTTGGCTTGATTCCAACCAGAGAAGAAGTTTTGGGGGTAGGGCACCTCCTCCCTCTATTTCCCACTAGTACACCCTGTCCAATTCTTTCCTCCTGAATCTTTCACCTTTTCCACTTCCCTGCCTAAGGCTTCTCCATGGCATCTACCTGTTCCACCCTGGCAGAAACGTGAGGGTTAAAAAGGGGCATCAGCCATGTTGTCCCTGGGCCAGTAATGCAGGTGAGACTCAGGCTAATGTCACAGCTGCTTCATAAAGACCCAACAGTTGGATGAAACAATATCTGAATGTGTAAAGAATCCCTAGTTCCTTCATCATTCCCTCACTCACTCAATCTAAGAAAGGATTTATTGAATATCTCTTCTCATTTCATGAGACTTGATGACCAAGGGGGATTTGAATCTCAAGGTAAAAACATGAGTGTCTGTCCTTTAAGGCCCAGATCAGCCTATTACCCTCTCTTCCAGGAAGCCTTCTTTGATCTCCCTCTCCTGAATTCTAAGGAAGTTAGAATTTAAAAGTCCTCCAAGGAACCTCCTTCTCCAACTCCCTTTATTTTGAAGAGGGTCAGAAGTAGTCAAGGGCCCCCCACCCACATCCTCTCCCTGCTCACAAGTCACCAGCCAGTTAGGGGAAAAAAACAGTCCCGCCAAGGCTGCACTTCCTTTACCACGGTTATTGCCTGGTTCTGTCTGCCACCACAGAATCCAGGTCTCTTTACAGCACCTCCCTGTTCACAGAGCCGCCTTAGTCACCAGGCTGTGAGCTCCCTGAGGACAGCATCACGTGTGCCCACTCACTTCAAAGCCCCTGCACCCCGCACGGTGACCAGCCTGGAGCGTGCATTTAGCTTCATGCTGGCCCTTCACTCTGCTCATGTATGCACAAACCCTCCAACTACATCTATAATCACTGGAGCATGAAGCCCTCCTGCACATGATACTTCACACATTACAATTGTTGACAAGCCTTCAGAGAAAGGGGAGTGCAAATCAGTGGGAGAAAGCTTTGCAGCCCACTGGGGGAAAAGCCCCCCAAGTGTCCGCTCCTTTCCCACTTCTCTGGACAAGTGCTAACCATACCAGGAAAGGAGATGGTCTGTGGGGTCCACAGCCAGTCTTAAGAGAAGTCTGGGAACCTAAAGTTATAAGCAAAATGCCTGAATGTGCCCTTGTGCCTTTTTCTAGAGCAAGGAGCCCTTAGCTTTGATCAGATTCTCTAATACAGTGTCTCTCAATTTTTTCTAGGGTAAAAAAATTTCTCAGACACCCAAAGTTGACAAGGCATTTTTATTAAAATAATAGCTAATCATTTACAAATAAGCAATGAGTTATAAAGCCTTTGTGGTTCAAGTATTCAAACAACTATGAAGCCAGATTTTACAAGTTAAATACCAACTATACTACCGAACCAACACAATTCAACTTGATAGCATAAAACGGGTATGCACGATAATGCCATCTTGTGAGATTAAATTGATTTCCCAACAGAAAAATGGACCTGAGAGGTAGGAGGCAGGGCCTATGGAGTTAAACTTGCTTATTTTTCCATGCACTATTTGAGATTCAGTTCTATCACCATTCTCCTCTGGTCATGCATTTGCAGAACCTTCATTGCTACAGTTCACTGCATTCTTGCTGGACTTAGTATCAATGACCATTTATGAATTAAATCTCTTTTTCCCTTGGCCACCATCATCCTATTCACCAAGAATGCATCTTAAATTGTCAATGTGAACAAAGTCAGGCACTGAGATCCCCAACCGTCCTCATTTATAAGGTGAATGTATAGATGATTAGAACATGCACATATTTTTAGAGTACCCTCAAAATAAATTTGCACAACTAATTTATCATGGATGACTTGCAGGCCTCCAAGAATATGTCCTTGAATTTTAGTTTGATAAACATCTTGATTATGCTCCTGGGCAAAGAAAGGTTAAGAACCAGGGAGAGAAAATGAGACTCCCCGCAACCCCCCAAAAAATGTGCTGGGTGGGGGAACAAGGTAAAGTTTATGCAGGGATTAAAAACTAGTTCACAGCATTTTCTTGGTCTAATGACTGCCATTTCTTCTGCCAGTGACCAACATCCTGCCCTGTCTTACTGTATCTCAGCTTTCAGGATGACTGGCCACTTACAAGGAAAACTAACCACAGGTTACAACACAGATGGTGAACAGATTAGAGCAGGTATGTTGACTGCAGTCAAAAGGCAGTGACTGTCTAGGGCAGTACTGAGCAGAGCTCCTAGGCCAAAACTAGACTCAAGAGGAAAGAGTTCTACAATCAATTAGTGATGTCTGTACAGAGCAGTCTCCATTCATAGGGGTTGAGAAGTACTTGTCTTCCTTAGATTGTAAGACTCAGTCCTGACAGGTTGACAAACTGATAAGTAAACAGTATATTAGAATCCAAAGTCATCTCAAAAGTTATCCACTGAAGGGAGGAGGAGGGTGGTGAATTCAGGTGTCTACCTGGGGTGGGCAGGTAGAATCAATGAGCCACATGAGCTGGGTGGGGACTGTGGCCAGCTTGAGGACAGATGCTTCAACCACAGACAACAGCCGTTTCTCAGCTGCAGCCACTACTACCAAGTACGATTAACTTTTCAAGAGAAGCCGGGAATCTGGATTTTCATCCCCAGCCTTCTGATTTTTCAATTTTTGAAAATACAAATACAACAAATACATTTTTGAAATGGGCTGGTCACTGATCTAAAGCCTAATTGGCTGACAGCCCCCCTGTCTGCAACCCTTGATCTAGTCTAATCCCTTCATTTTACAGAGGAAAATGTGACACTCAAGAGGCAGGGCTGGAATTGCAGCCTGAATCCCTGGATCTCAGTTTAGCACTTCTTACTTGCATCCTTACTGTGTGCCCAAAGGATGCAGCCTCTATTTTTGGCAAAGCAGGGTAAGAAAGGCACAATTCTTCTCCTTGTGCCAGTCCCTGGGCTAGTGCTCAGCTCATGCTAGTATGTAGACCAGATACAGAAATGACCCCCGGCTTCAGTGGAATCTGAACTCACAGCAAGACACATGACACACCACCATTCCCAGCTCGCCCAGTGAGACCAAGAGAGAGCCTCCATGGAGGCGGTACCTGTGTTCCACTCGTGCCCGCAGGTGGCCCAGGGGAGCTCGGTGGTGAAGCAGTTGCTCAGGTAGAAAACGGCCCATGCCAGGATAATAATGTAGTAAACGTTTAGATGGGCCTCAATCACCTGCGTTGCATAACCAATGCCTGAAAAAAACACAGAAAAGGCAGTGATCTGAGTCCCTCTCCAACTCGTTAAACAAAGCTGCCCTTCACAGCCTGACAATACCCAGGCATTCTTTTATTTTCTGATTAACTCAGCACTTACCTTCAAATAAAGGGCACACTTTCCTCCAACATGTAATGCCACCTTCACTCGTAAACTGTCCCAGAGCTGTTTCCAGGAAAAAAACAGGAATCCCACAGCATATAAAAAACACCACATAGGGAATCAGGAATGCCCCTGCAAAGATGCAAAGGAAAGGAATGAAGCTAAAGTTGCCTCCACCACTTCAGCCCTTGAAAACCTATTAGAGGCAAGATAGCATATGCTCTGAGCTTGAGCTCAAGTTCCTGCTATGAGGACCAGAGTCAGACAAGGTGAACCTGGATTTAGGCTCTCTGCCACCTACTCCCTTGATTAAGTCTACGTCACATCTCCCAGCCTCAACTTATTCACCTATAAAATAAGGCTTTAATACGTAAGAACTGCACCACTTATCTCACAGAATGGTTGTACAGTTAAGAGGATAAAGTTTAAGAAACTGTGTAATATGCTTAAATCTTTCATTTATGCATCCTATCCTCCAGCACAAGTCAAATCTATTCCCTCCCTGAATGCTGCATCCTCCTTTTATATTATAAAGACCTCAATTGGCCAAGGGAGGGGGCCTCTTCTTTTTACTTTGGAAGTAACCTGCAAAAAATCTTTATAAAGAAAGGCATTCTCAAGGAGATATACAATGAGCAGGAATAGGTCCCTGTACATGAGCCCCAGGTATGGAGCTAAGATATGAGGAGTTCATAGCAAGAATACAGCCAGGGAGGCTGGCTTTGAATCAGTCTGGAGAAAAGACCACCTTAAGCTTTAGTGCTCCCATTTTGAAACACAATACCCACCGCCTGGGCCTTTCTGTGAAACAAATTAAATAACTGAGGTGAACATGAGCCATTACAAGCAGAAAGGGATTTTTCCAAATCCCTCATTCTCTCTCTGTCTAATAACAAAGCATGAAAACACACGCTATTCCCCGCCATCTGATCTTGCGAATGAAGGCTTTCACTGAAATTGCTTTTTGCTAAATGAAGTCCCTTTAACCCAGGATTAACAGCAATGATTTTGATCAATCCTGGTAATAGGACAATATTTACCAGGTTGTGAAAGGGTCTTAGCTCTTCTATTTTTACAAAGTTTCACATTGGGAAAGAAATACTAAAGTATTGTTGCAACTTATGAGTAGAGCTGTATAGATTTTTTTTTTTTTAAAGAAAGTTAAACAGTTGATAAGCAGATCCCCCAACTATATTAGAAGGCAAAAAGTGTCTGAAAGAAGATAAAAAGGGTCTGTTTGCTGAATCTAAGTGATTAAGACAAGCCACAGAAGTTTCCCTAACATGCTGTAATTTAAAATAAAATAACACTTTCTGAAGGCCTTGTGGCCTCTCTGTTCACAAAGCCAGTAATCCTTAAGATAATTAAACCAGGATATCTGTACACCCAGCAGAGATTCTTGTTGAGTTAGAGTAAAAAAAAAAAAATGACTCATTTTAAAACTGTACTCACTACAACCTTTTTTTAAAAAAAATCTGAGAGTTTGTGATTAATGCAGCTTATACAATGTTCTGATTTTACAAATGTGTTTCTGGTTTTGGTATAACAATTTCCTGCTTAAAAAAAGGGGGCAGGGGGAGAGGTTTAAACAACTCTTGCCTGGGACAATCCTAAAGGGTTTCCACAGGCGTCTAAGCGGACACAGCAGCTTACACAGGATGAATGTGCAAAGAAGAGAGGCAGGCTCCCAGCTGAGGGCTCAGGGCACGTTCAGGGTCTCTGAGGCCACTCCCTCTCTCCCCGTGCCAAGCCACAGACACCGGCGGCCACTTCATTACCAGTGCAGAGCAGGCTTGGAGCAGCCTGTGCCTTCAGGATGAATGTCTCCAAAGAAAAGGGCCCTGGCCAAGCAGTCCCCTTCTCGCTCTCCCTGCAGCTGCCCGCACAGGAAGTCCTGCCCTGCAAAGCCCGACAGTGTGGTCCCTGCCAAACCTCTGAGCTACCTTTGCTGGACTCTGGGGATCCGCTGGAGGGACACAGCAAAGAGAGAGAGGAATGAATACACAAACACCGGCTTTTCTCTGCAGAAACCGTGCCCCTCGAGGTTTCACAGGGTCCCTTGCCATGGCCCTGCCAGCTGCTCTGTTGATAACGACAGGTGGGGGCTCCTCAAATCTGGAGGCCCCCCCTTCTTGGAGATGGGAGATCTGAGGATTTAACTGCTGCGTCTCCACCATGCAGCCTCGGACATGCTGTCACTAGAAAACGACTCTCTGGTCACCTTCGTTTCCCTGACCCCGGCAAGCTCTGCTGCTGCTGCTGCTAAGTCGCTTCAGTCCTATCCAACTCTGTGCGACCCTATGGACGGCAGCCCACCAGGCTCTGCCGTCCCTGGGATTCTCCAGGCAAGAACACTGGAGTGGGTTGCCACTGCCTTCTCCAATGCATGAAAGTGAAAAGTGAAAGGGAAGTCGCTCAGCTGTGTCTTACTCTTAGCGACCCCATGGACTGCAGCCCACCAGGCTCCTCCGTCCATGGGATTTCCCAGGCAAGAGTACTGGAGTGGGTTGCCATTCCCCTCTTCGCGGCAAGCTCTAACCACCTTCTAAACAGCAAGTCAGTACTGTTGCTAACTGTTCTGAGACCAAAGAAGCTGTTTTGTGCCCATCTTCCCACCAGACAGTCCTAGAAAGGGCTCTACGGGCAAATGAAAGGAAGGGAAACCAAATGGCAACGGGCCTCGCCTAAAGAAGTTCTCCCAGCTGTGCGTCCAATCTCACTTTAAAACCAGGCCTTTGGTGTCGGAACCCCACCTCTACCCCTTGGGGAGTGAGCGACTTCTCTGCTCCTCAGTTTCCTCCCCTGCAAAACGGGGAATATACCCCTACCTACAAAGACGACTGCGAAACGAGATGAGGTAAGTTGAGTCGAGTCCGGAGGCTGGCATTTCGGGAAGCCCTCAGAAGCCCGAAGCTGCTCGGATGACCAAAGTCCCCTTTCCTTCTCGCGCATTTCCAGTCAGGAAAGCTGAGGCTCCAAGGGACTGCCTCCTGCCCGAGAACTCCCGCCAAGGGCTCCCGGCCTCGGTCTGCACCTCACGCCCGCGGGGACAGAACACACACCCGGCGGACTAGTGCCCGCGTGCTAGCAGGTGGCGCGCTCAGGTGCGAAGCCGGGGCGCAAGCATGCGCACTGGGGCGGCGAGCGTCGCGCCGGGGGTCAGCTCTCGCGCCAGGTGGCCCCGGGGCCGGCGTCCCCGCGAGACTGGGGTCTCGCCACACGCAGGCGCCGGAGGGGGCCCGGCTCCCCGCCCCCACAGGGCCGGCTTCTCCCACCCAGTCCTCCTCAGGGCCGCGCGCGCGCGCGCGCGCGCGCCGACTCACCTCCGCCGTTCTTGTAGCACAGGTAAGGGAAGCGCCACACGTTGCCCAGCCCGATGATCTCCCCCGCCACGCTCAGGACGAACTCCACCTTGTTATTCCAGTGGCCGCGCTCGTGGACCGCCTTGTCGCGCTTGTCGCGCGCGGACACCGCGCCCCCGCCGCCAGTCAGCACCTCAGACTCCCGCGCCTCCTCAGCAGCCTTCCCGTTGCCCAGAGGCAGCGCCTTCTCCGCCGTCATGGCCGCGCTGGCTGCCTCCTCGTGCGCCGGGCCCGGCTCTGCGCCGCCGCCCCGGGCGGGCTGGCTTTTCAGGAGGCGCGAGCAGGCGGGAGGGGGAGGCAGGGGGTGGAGCTGAGGGGCCGGGCCGGGCCAGCGCGGGGACGGGGACGGGGACGGGGACGCTGCGGCCCGGCCCCGCCGGGCGCCCGCGTCGCCTCAGCCCGGCTAGACCGGGCCCGGGAGCCCGCGAGCACCTTGCGCGCGCCGAGCACCTTGCGCGCGCCGAGCACCTTGCGCGCGCCGAGCACCTTGCGCGCGCCGAGCACCTTGCGCGCGCCGAGCACCTTGCGCGCGCCGAGCACCTTGCGCGCGCCCCTTCCCTCCCCGTGTCCTACCCACTGGCCTCTTTTTAGAAGAGTGGAAGCGTGCATTCAGGCCTAGACTGGGCTCCAGACACCAAGCCCTGAAGTTTCACCACTCTGTGATCTCCGAATTTCTGGGTCTCAGTTTCTCACCTGTAATAAGAAGAGCGGCTGTAGACAGGCTTCTGCAGTCTGAGTGCCTGCGAGTCCTGTTAAACTGCAGACCCTGATCTAGTGGGTGGGGCAGGGCTGGAGCGTTTGCGTTTGTTGGAACGTGTGCGCCCAGGTGATGCTAATAATGTTGGCAAGGACCACAGTGTGGAAGAAGGGAGAAAATGAACTGCAGGGAAGAAAATGAACTTTCTTCCCAGCGCTCAGACTGTGAGCTCCCCTAGGCTAGTGACGCCTCCAGATCTTGTCCATCCTGGCGCCCACCGTTCTAAACATAGTGACTCAGGACAGTGTGGCAGTTAGATTTGCCTGTGGAAATGGGCAAATCTAATTTGAACCGCCATCTATCTTAGTCTTTTTAGTCGTGTGAAGAAGTCATCTGACATTTCTGTGCCTTAGTTTCCTGATTTGCAAATAGGAATACCAATATTGCAAATAGTGCTTTTGTTACAAATGTGTGTGTGTGGAGTTAATACGAAAATGCTTATAAAGTATTTAGTGTATTGGAAGTGCTTTATGAACATTATCATACGCTGTGTAGTCACATATAGTTATGTATCATCTTGTTTAATATCTGTCTTTCCACTCAACTGAGAGGGTGATGTACCCACCTTGTTTATTTTAAAAGGCATAGAACCTAACACAAGAGCCTGCACATAGTAGGTGCTAAGTATTTGTGGAGAGAAGAAGGAAAGACCAGAGGAAGGAAGAAAAAAAGCAAAAGAAGGTAAGGTTTGCAAGAGGCCACAGAGATAGTCAGACCCCCTCTCTGTGATTTCACAGTCCTGAAGAAGTCCAGCCATGTGAGCTGTCTGTAACACCCCACACTGAGCCCTACATCCATCCCTTGCAGCTCTCTCTGAGGCTCTGGAGAAGAGCCTCCCTGTCTCGTGGCCTCAGCTTCTCCTTCATTCTGGTGTACAACTGCTTGAGTCTCTCCCCACCTTTATCTCCCCCAGAAAATGCTTCCAGTTACCATCTTCCCCTTTCAGGCTTCCTTCCTCCCCTCCCCCTCACTATCATATTTCTTGAAAGAGTAAGTTTACATGCTGCCTGCCCCTTCTTCACCTCCCACTCATTCCTCAGCCCACAGCAATCTGGCGTCCACCCCCGCCACTCCCCTGAAAATGCTGTCTGTGAAGTCCCGGAAGCCCTCTTAAGTTGACAAATCCTACAGTTCCTTGTCCCTCCCCATCCTGCCTGATCTCTAGGTAGCTTTCTGCACCATTATACCTCTTCCCTTCTTAAAATTTCCACCTGTGTGGTTTCCTTGGCATTGCCTGCCTTTTTTTTTTTTTTTTTTTTTAACTGTTTCTCTTTCCGCTTCTCTGGTCCTCCTCTCTTTCCCCTTAAATTGGGTCTTTCTCATTTTATTAGCCATCCAATGAAATGCTGATAGCTCCCAAACCTCCACTCCCAGGTGCTGTCCTGCGTATACTCAAAAGAAGAGATCCTATGGAGTGTTTGGTGCGAGAGTGAACTGGACTCAGGTAGATACAGGCTCTGCCCCTTATAAGCTGTATTACCTCTGCCTCAGGGTTCTCCTCTGTAATGTGGGGTTAATGTCAGTTATGACCTTATGGACTGAGTTTGAGGGTAGTAGTCTTGAGCACAGTTGGTGCTCTGTGAATAGTATTTTTTATTTTTATTGTGATCAGGATGATGGTGTTGGTGATGTCATTCCTTTGCTTAAATGTCTTCATTGGTCCTTCTTTTCCTACAGGATAAAATCAAATCCCTGATCCTGGCATTTTGAATTACACCCACAATCTGATTGTCCCAGACGTTCCTTCTAGATTGACTCCATCTTCTCCCATGCTAAAAACTCGGCATCAGCATTGTCATTTTCTTTGCGGTGATCCTCAGTGCCGCATACAGAATGAGCAGTCAAGATCGTCTTTGACCTTGATGGTCCCTACACACAGTAAGCGCCTCAGAGTTCATTTGTTAAATGAACAGCTACACCTGAAATTAGAGATATATTACTGGATTTTATTATTGCAATATTAGGCTATACCCTAGAATCTATGTAAACCTCCTTTGAATCTGATTACATTTTCACTTTGTATAGCCCATCAGCGTAGTTAGCTACAGGAATTGATTTCCTCTGAGCAGCTATGGTTTTACAAGACCTGCTTGGGAAGTAACGTGAAGTAGCAGCATGAGGGGTTGGGGAACCCAGGCTCAGTTCTGCTGATGGGTTCCGTGGCATTGTCTACCTCCCCTCACTTCTGAGCTTTGATGTCGCCAGTTCATTAATATGAGCTGATTATCCTCATCTACCATGGTGGTCTTCAAGATGAAGCAAGGCCATATGCGGAGAACACAGTACAAATCCTGATGTCCCAAACTCACCTCTCAAGTTTTAGCATTTCCCTTTATGAAAGTTAACCAGGTCAGTGTCCTCTTACTAGAATTCAGTAAATAAATATTTAAAGTCCATCTCCATGATTGTTTCATGGCTCTTGAAAAGCTTTCCTCTTTTTCTCTGTCTTTATCCGGAAAAGCCCACATCTCCCTTATCATTTCACAGCCTCAACTCTGGACCTTTTCTATTAGGTTATTTCTTTGTTTAGGTTCAGTGATCTGACGAGCGCACACCATATCCATGGGGTGAATGTCCTTAGGTTGGAGTAGAGATGGGGATATGAGGCATGTCTCATTTCCAGAGCTGGTCCTGATGCAGCATCGCATAGTGGTTAGGAACATGGGTTTTAGCATCATACTTCCTGTGTTCAAAGCCCGGCTCCACCACCTGGGCAAATTACTCTAAGCTTTAGTTTCCTTATCTGTAAAATGAGAATACTAGACATTTCTGCCTTTTAATTGCTCCCTACTCTTTTCTTGGAGGGGGGAGGTGTGTGTGCATGCTCAGTCGCTAAGTCGTGTCTGACTCTTTGTGACCCCATGGACTGCAGACCACCAAGCTCCTCTGTCCATGGGATTTCCCAGGCAAGAATACTGGAGTGGGTTGCCATTTCCTCCTCCAGGGGATCTTGCTGACCCAGGGATTGAACCTGTGTCTCCTGCATTGGCAGGAGATTCTTTACCACTGTATCACCTGGGAAATCTCATTCCTGAGGCAAGCATTAGAAGTCTTTTATCTTCTAGAATCAGCAGTTACTGTCCTGAAGGCTTATTTAAACTTCAGCATTGTTCATTCATTCATTCACCAAATACTTATTGGTTCTTGAGCTGTTTTTCAGATACTATATTGGTCTTAAGAGGGGCGGGTACAAGGCCTGCCCCAGGGGGATGCTAGAGACCACCTCAGACCACCTGGGGGAAGCTGATGATGACATTTTCAGGGTTTTTGCAAGCCACCATTGTTGGTAGCTTGAAATCTGTCATGGTAGTTGTATTTACACCAGGGAAGTCTGCACTGCAGATGCTACAGACACTATCAATCAGTCCCACCCACCCTACCCAGCCAGTGTACCACCCGCTGTTATGGGAGGAGGCAGCTGCTAGTCAGATAGTCACAGTAGTGAATGGAAAGCCAGTGGTATGCACCACGAAGGAAAGGTCTTCGGCGCTAGGAGACCTTGTGACTGAGAGGTCCGACCTCGTCAAGGAGGTCCGGGCAGGTGATAGATGAGCCAGAGCCTGAAGGGACAGTAGCAATGACCTGGAGGAGGAGGGATGTGAGGGTCCTGTTAAATGATCCCCAGGACTGAGGCCGGAGTGCAGAGTGGGGAAAGTTTTAGCAGTGGGCAGTATGAGCAGCTTTGCGCTATAATGAGATTACTGTGGCTGCAGGGTGAGAAGTGGGCTATGGGGCAGGTGGGGACAGTGAAGAGGCTACTGCAGTGACCCTGGCCAGAGGAGAGGATGGAAGCTTAGAGAAGGGGGGTGACAGTGGCAAAGAACAGACGAAGGTGGACTAGAGTGAGATGGCAGGGGCGAGGGCTTGGGGAGGGGTGAAACACAGAGGGCTCAGCCTGGGACTGGATAGGAGGGCGAGGGAAGGCGCCGCGTCGGGTAAACCTCCCAGTGGGTGGAGCTCAGCACCCCACGGTGTGGTGATGGTCCTGCTCACCTTTGTCTGGGTGTGCTACTGCTGGCTCACTCAGGGACTCGAGCACGGTCCTCAACCGTGTGAATGGCTGCCGGACGGAAAACCTGTGTGGCAGGACCAGGATCAAAGAGAGGAAGCAAGAAGGCATTGGGTACCAGAAAGAACTTCGGGCAAGTTGTCCAGTCTGAATAGTCTATTCCAGGAGGTGGTGAGCTCCTCAGAGCTGGAGTGTCCAGGTGGAAGCTGGACCAGCACATTGCAGGGACACCACAATGGGATGGGATTTCCCAATTATGGGAGTCATGGAGAACATAGTTTTCTGGAAATACCTTGCCCAATTGTTGTTGCTCAGTCGCTAAGTCATGTCCAATTTTTTGCAGTGCCATGGACTGCAGCATGCCGGGCTCTCAGGTCCTTCAGAATCTCCCAGAGTTTGCTTAAACTCATGTCCATTGAGTCTTTGATGCCAT